TTTTTACCCAATCAATTATTGGTACAGAATTTCTAGTATTTCTGGTTTTTCTGGTTGGTTCGATTCCAACATTGATTCTTACATTTATGGCACGAACTGTCTTCGCTTTACGTAAAGGTACCAACTAAGGAGATGAAGCACTTGCTAAAATTTCAAACATGAAATCCTTCATTGTTAACAAGTACTTTTCTAACAGGATAACATTGAAATTTTGGATAATAAATATGGCGCGATGCAATGGCAGAGCGTTCTACAATTTCCATAAATAACACATTAACTCGGATAGGGAAGAAAGAATCGACGATAACTTTTTGATACGAATTACCAATCAGAATCTTTCATCTTAGGAACAAGAGATATTCGCTTTGGAACAATAATACAATTAAATGCATCTCTTTTGGTATATCTGATGTACTGTATATATCCTCGATGGCAAATCTATGTTATAAAAAACTGTAGAGTAAGCTATAATTTTTGGTATGCGACGTGATGCTTAATCTGATATCAAAATTGATAATATACCTTATTATTTTAAGGAACAAGTTTATCTTTGAAAATGGGTAAAATCAGGTTCTGGAATTTTTTAACAAATTTTCGATTTTTATTGCCTTAGCAGTCCTATTTCGACAAGCGGGGATGAATTTTGATGATAGCAAATGTTAACCATTAAAAATAAATATCCCATCGGATATCAATGAAAGAGTTAAGATTCCGCTCAACAAACGGATAATTTGGTTGGTAAAATTTTATTTTACATAAAACAAAACAGCTAAAATAATGCTTCAAAATTATACTAATATATATATTCTAAATAATCTAAAATAAATAAAATAACCTAGCAATAAGATTACAAATTAAAAATATAGAACTAACAAGCAATATATTCATCATAATCATTTTGAAAACATTAATCTTGGAGAGATATTCATGGACATTAGCTCTTGGAAAAGTATTTTACACGCATATGGAATTTGTACTTGAGAAATCTATAAAAGAAAAAGTAATAAAATAAATTTACTACTAAATATACAAAAATAAAAACAATAATATATCTAGACTTTAAACTCACCTGTGTGGTGTTGTTGCAAATTTTACAAATATAAACTTTTTTCGAAACTTGTGCTATACACATCAGTCCACAAATATCACACACATGAATTCTATAAGCATCTGCGACATCATTAAGTCGTTCCTATAATAATAATTTTTTTTTTTTACAAATGAAAATATCGTAAGCAAGCAATAAATTTATTTTTGAAATTCATATAATACAAAATACCTTCAAAAATAAGGCTGTCCCGTGAGAAATCATACAATCTCGTTCCATTTCACCAAATCTTAATCCTCCTTCACGACTACGCCCCTCAACTGGTTGCCTAGTTAATATATTAACTGGACCCCTTCCGCGTGAACTATATATATTCAATTTATATTTAGTGCAATTCTAAATTAATTAATTGTATACTATATGGAAAAGACTTACTGAATTTTATCTTGGACCATATGTTTTAACCGTTGATAATAAGTCGGTCCAATGAAAATTTGTGCGGATAATTTACGTCCAGTATGACCATTATACATAACTTCCAATCCACGACGGTGGAATCCAAAAGAACCAAGTTTTCGCGAAATGGATTCTACGGTAACTTCAGAAAAAGCTGTAGCATCACCTTCACTACCCGAAAACACCGAAAGCTTTATGAACAAGTGTATACAATCGCAAGTTAGAATTAAGTCACGTATATACTGTATGGTTTTAAAACATATCTTTTTACTATACCTTTCCCATTAAACATTCAATTAAATGTCCGATTGTCATACGGCTAGGAATAGCATGTGGATTTATGATAATATCTGGGGTAATTCCGTCAGCAGTGAATGGCATATCCTCTTGACGATAATTGATTCCAATGGTTCCTTTTTGACCATGACGACTTGCGAATTTATCTCCAATTTCAGGAATTCGCGTATTTCTAACTCCAACTTTCACCAATTTAGCTCCGTCTTGGTTTGTGGTAACAATTACTTGATCAACGATTCCATGTTCAGTAAATCTTAATGGCGTAGAAACATCTCGATACACATGAGATTCTTTTCGTTGGCCAAGCAGTTCATCTTCAGGTGAAAGTGTGGACACCTTTCCTATAAGAATATCATTTCCACAAACTCGAACCCCACAAGGTACGATCCCATCGTCATCAAGTTTTTCATAATTTCCACGTTTTAATCCAAGGGTCGTATAAGGATTTGGCTTGGTTATATCTTCCATGTTCAAAACGCCCTTTATATTTTTTTTTTTTTAAAAAAAAAAAAAACGGTTTAAATATATTAATAAATATTAAAATTGTAATCTAAATAATTACTGTACCACTTTTTTTTCTTGATCAAGGTAACGTCGATAAGAAAAGCTTCTAAACAATCCCCTGTCAACGCTACTTTGGTTTATAATCAAAGAATCTTCTTGATTGTACCCTCCATAACACATAATAGCTACGATAACATTGATCCCAGCAGGTAATTCTCTGAATTGAAGATATTCCATAACTTTTGTGGTTACAAGAGGTTTCTGAGGATAATACAACAAATTGGCCAATACATCCATTCGTAATCGAAAATTAGTCGCGTAAATCCCCATTGCTTGCTTACTCATAGCGGATTGATAGGTATTTCGAGGAGACTAATTATGAAATATTGAATATGGGTTAATAAATTTTTGCAAAAATCATCATTAATTTATTTTAATTTGTGTATTATCTTACTTGATTATGATCAGAAAATGGAATTAGACTGGCGGAAACACCCAAAATCATACTTGGATGAATTTCACAATGAGTCCACTTATTTGGATAAGTTGGTAAATTAATTAGACGTTCATGGACCGATCGTCTTTTCCTTCTTGGTCTTAAACCTTCAAGTTTACGTAAATTATACAATCTCGACTCATATAATTCATCCGGAGAGATACATATCATGGTAGATTCTTCCTCTTCAGCATCAATATATTCGATGTAACGCTCTAATACTAATGCCTCCCATAAACTTTGGTTTGCCTCCTGTGCTATCTCCTATTAATTAATTAATAACGATATGATATAAAGAGTGAATTTAAAATAATAGGTATATATATATATATATATATGTATGTAAATATTTCTTACCAGTTTTAATTTTGATAAAGTATCTGAAGTCAAAACTAAATGCTGATCTTCGACGACAAATAATGGTCTACACATTCTTCCTGAATCACTGTAGAATCTTACTTCATTCACAAGTATATCGTTAACAATTCCAATATCGGCCGGAAGAGAATTTCCCTTAATCTCCCGAATAGATTTTATTAAATCCAAAGGTCTATCGGTAATACAGGTCAAATTTCCATTGACAAAAACTTTTGTGAATTTAACAATGTTATCAAACGGTGTTTCATTAATGTTTTGACAGATTCCGCAACTGTTAATAAATTCATTTAAAATATCAGATGGAATAGACACTGAGACGTATGACATTAGCGCTAGATTTTTCATTAGACCGCAGGCTTGTCCCTCAGGAGTTTCAGCAGGGCATATGTAACCCCAATGTGTATTATGAAGTTGACGCGGTTTCGTGAACTTTCCTTCGCGTCCAATTGGAGCATTACATCTTCGAAGATGTGATATAGTTGATACATAAGTGAATCTGTTTAGGACTTGTGAAACACCAGACCTGGACTATTGAAGAGGAACTGGATTAATAATAATACGATATGAATTTTTTTTTCAAGATAAAGTAACTTGCCTGCATTGCCTTTTTGGCATCTCCCCAATTACCGGTACCAATTGAGTATCTAAATCCATTGGTAATTGTATGTGGTCTTAAAGCTAAAGGTAATTTGAATTCGCGTTTACTAGAAATACACTAATCAAAGAGAATAATCGAAAAAACAAACGTGTGAACACATATAATTAAATTTTAAAAAACTTGTAAAAAAAAAATCTTTTTATTTACCTTTCTAAAATAAGCAGCCATATCATTTAAAACTGTTTTGTATAAAGTGCGAAATAATGAAATCATTAGAGGACCAGCCATATCAAGGCGTTTTTTTCCAAAGTGATCTCGATCATCAAGTTCTCGACGGTCAAGAGTAGAGAGTAAAAGTCTATGCGTCAAATATCCCAAAAAATATCCTTTAGTTAAATTGAAGCCTATTCCTACTCCAACGTGAGGCAGAAATTCGTTATATATAATGTTTTTCGCATACCTACGGTATGCGTCATATAGTTTTTATAACATCATATTATGATTTTAACAAATTTGCAATAAAATCAATAATTTAAGCCAATACTTACTCGATCCGTTTCTCCCGAACCGCGTTAGATGTATTTCCTCTGCGCGCAATAAAATCTAGAGCGATCTTTTTTTTAAAAAATAAATCAATATTAGAAAATTAATGAAATAAATGTGTTATATTTTTTTATGAGAATTGAATATAAAACAAGTACAGTACATTTTGCGACTGAATTGCACGCGTTTCGTCAATACAAGATAGTACAATTTTGAGTATTTCAGGATCGTGAGAATCAAGGCAAATACAATCGATGAAGTCCTCATCGTTGAGGATTCCGAGGGCAAGAAATAAAACTCTAATTGGAATATCCTTTTTAATAAAAGGCAAAGCGACATGTATGAATGATTCAGCTTTCTAATAATTAATTAAAAGGTTGAATAAATAAATAATACATATTTTACAATGAAACAGAGTAAATAAATTATTGATCTTTAAATTGTATAAGTACTTACGTCTCCGGCAAAAGTTCTCGTAACCAATTTCAAGTTTACAGTTCTTACTTTTGACATGTGTTCGGTAGAACTACGAAATTCCGCGCTATACAAGGTAGTCGACGGCGAAGCATATTTAAAGATATAGACGTAATTGTAGGCTAATCTTTCTTGAGCTATTAGAACTTTTTCGGAACCGTTTATGATAAAGTAACCACCCTAAATGAAGTAAAGTTAGCATTGGGATATTATATGTTAAAAGAAGGTTAAATTCATTATACCTGATCATATGGACATTCATGATGTTCTTTCAGTTCCTCAAAAGTCAAACCAGCTAAAGAGCAAAATTTAGAATGTACCATAACAGGAATCTATTTTTGAAATAAGAAAATTTATATCATATTATCGTCATAATAAATTGTAATTATTAATTTTGAAACAAAGTTACCTTTCCAAAAAATACCGGTTCATCAACCACAGTCTCCTCATATCCTTTGAAATCATTTTCGTTATAATCGATTTCATCATAACTGTTTATGATTAACTTTGATATAAAAAGTTTCATATTTAAGAACAACGGGGATGAGTACCTATACAAGAAAAAGAAAAAAACTGATGAGCCTCGATATACATAATATTATGGAATTCGATTTAAATTAATTACGTTAAACCCCTTAAGCGAGCTTCATTCGGGAACAATTGCTTTTTAATACCCTCAGGCTCGGAAAATTGAGGTTTAGTAAATGATGGCTTATCAAACTCGAAACGGTATTGAGTCTAATTTTGTATATATATATGTATTTTTTTTTTTAAAAAAAAAAAATCGTAAAATATATTCCATATAAAAATAGTACAGAAATCAAACCATTATTTCTTGCCCATCTTCAAAATCAGAATATCTAATCGCTTGCATTGGGGTGTCGTTTATAACTTCAACTAGACCACGCTCAATAAAGTCATCAAAAGAATCCAACTGTTGTCGTACAATTCCTTTATTTTTGAAAAATGATGACACAACTTCCCAGCATTCCTCTTGTGTAAGATCCGTTTCATCATCATCCTCTTCAAATGCAGAGGCGCATTCTGTTACCAGAGATTCTATAGGAATGCAAAAGATTAAATTAATAATTTTGATTTTGAATAAAATGCGAATGCAATCACATACCGTCTGATTGATAGCCCGAAAGAGCTTCTGAACGTGTATCATCATCATTCTCAACCGTTTGTGAATCATTATTCGCAGAAGAATTTTCAAATGTGAATTCGCTATAATCCATATTTGTATTTAGAATGATGTTGAATTATTCTTAACAAGATAGAGAGAAAAAAAATTATCGATGAACCATGCCATCGTATTTAACGTGATAAAAACTCGTCATCAAGCCAAGCATATTACGTTTAAGACCAGCTAAGTATATTACGTCAGTCTCATTTATCCTTACGAGTTTTTTTGCAGTATCATTACGAACCATGATAGATAAAGCCAAAGTTTAATTTAAAGATATTTTTCTACATTCTGATTGTTGATCACATTTGATCAACTTAATTTATCTAATAATTATATATACCGAACGAGAATCAATTAATAGGCAAAAGCGAAGACGTTCGTTCTTGTCATTTTAATGTGAAATTGAACATAAATCAAGGAGATATCGCTTGTCATATTTATTGTTCAAAATTATTCTAAAATTTAATATTTTTTGTTACCTCGTGTCGTTGCAATACATAAAAAAAAAAAGTGGAGAATGTCTATTATAATAAAAAAAAATAATAAATATTTTCGCCATATTTTCCTCGATAATTTAGTAATAGTTTCATAATAATATCGGTAACCAGCATCCTGTTTTAGAAAGGAGACTCGTGTTGAAATTTTAACAAGAAAAAAAGAACCTTTACGTAAAGCGAAGACAGCACGTATCATAAATGTAAAAATCAATGTTGGAATCGAACCAACCAGAAAAACCAGAAATACTAGAAATTCTGTACCAATAATTGATTGGGTAAAAA